GCACCAGACCTTGCGAAAGAGTCCACTTGATAACTTGATGTGAACCCACATCCGTTGTGTAATAATCATTCTGTTGGTCGATTGTCAATCCATGCGGCATGAAAAATCTGTAACAATGTTTTTAGCATTTTGAGAAATAAATTAAAAACAAACTGCTGGCAAGTATGGTGCACTTTCTAACGGTACTAGTTTCGAGATGAAGATCGATGGTTCGGCTCTGTCAGTGGAATAACCAATCCCTCTACATCTTTTTTGCTTATATTGATGGTCAAAGCACCTTGATTCTCCACCTTGTTCTATCCTCCATCCTGGAGAGTCACACCAACTGTAGGCTTGCTTCAAAGCAACCCTCGAAAGATGGAGCCATCGACAGCCTTGCCAGCCGGTGAGATGAGTGCTACTGTTTGAACAACCACCGGGTGCTTGCGCTTCTCAGATATTGAATTTGGAGGGGGTTTTGTCCTTCATAAGACTTAAACCAAACAAAGACATGATAATTTATTCATTAAATGCAAAAAGGAAAAGTTGTTAACTTACTTTCCACTGCCATGTTTCGACAGCAGTGACATTGTTCTATTGGGTCCATTGGTCTGTGTCACTAAAATTACATCATCGGCAATTGCGGTTTGTTCGTGAAGAATATTTTCCGCATCGAATGAACTAAAAGAAAAAATTTATTTAAAAAAAATATAAAATTCTGGAACCGGCTTTAGTTACTCACGAACGAGGAAATCTTGTCAGTGGGAGGTTTTTTTTGCTGGAAAACGAAGAGTGCTTTCGCTTCTCATCAAATGTGGGGAACGATTTTCAAATTCATGGCAAATATTCAGTCTGCATTAAGTTCAGAGTAAACTAAAGCTGAGTTCTGCACCTTTAACATTCATCATTTTCCCAGTTATTCTTCTGAAACGACTCGGCACATCAACAATTACATGTACAAAAAACACCACGATAAACGCACCAACCTATCGTCCCATAGACGATCAGCACGATGAAAAACAACCAAATTTCCAAACGAATCGAAACTGAGAGCAGAAACTTGTCCCAATTTAATGCCGCCAATCGAAGTTGTTACACTTCCTTCAGTGACTCCTGAAACTCCCAAAATGCATTGCAGTGTTACTTCAAAAATAAACGTCACCTCTGATCGTCACGGTCAACCGTGAAAAATGGGAAAGTGGCAAAAAATGTACGACACACACTGCAACAGCTATATTT